CGGATCTCTATGGACTCCGTAAATACTAATAAACAATGTCGTCCCAGCTGGTACTAAGTATGATTCTAAAAAATGTTATAAAATAACTTTCAATTCGCAAGAAGTTAAGATGTTTCATTATGTAAAATTGAGAAATTCTATCTATTGCAATAATAAAATAATAAAATAAAATAACTATGTATAATTTCAATAAAAGAATATTTCCATAAAAGAAAAAGTAATTGCAGTAATTATTAAAATTTATTAAAAAATAATTTCAATTTTTTAAAAATTATTTCTTTTACTAATTAATGTAGGATTTTTAAATATTTGGTAATACATTTAAACATATATAAAATTAATTAGATACATACGCAATTTTATATCTGTGGAAGTAACTCGTGATATAAAATAGACGACAGGATATAAACGCAATGTTTCTTTTATACATCTTTCTAAATATGATAACTTCTGCAGCGATTGCATAGTAAATTTCCCTTCACTTTCATGCATTACAGCATTGACTTCTTCTCTGACACGATTCTATTATTAAAGTTGATTTACGTAATTTAAAGACAATGTTATTAATTTTCTCAGAAAATATATAATTATATAAATATGTATGTGCACAAATGCTTAAAAATGCTTTAAAATGCTTCAAATATTAATATGCTCAAAAATATGCTCAAAATATAACAAATAATGTAAAAGAATACATGCATCTTTTACATATTTTCTTTCTGAAAAAGTATTAAATAGATCGTATTAAATAGATTACTCGCATCTCTCAAAGTTTATTATTGGTTCTCCCATTGCGCTTACTTCATGAACGACTGTCATAGCGGAAATTATTTTGACAGTTGTATATATTGAGTATATCAAAGGGTTAACTGTATAATATAAGTACGTATTAATTTCTGTTGTTCCTTTTGTTTAAAAAAAATAAATTGCGCACATGTAGTATGAAGTGTCTACTTTACTTGGTAGAACTAGAGATTAGAGGATCATCCTTCAATGATCATCCTTAATCTTGACATATTTTATCAAGATCATGACTCTGAGTAATCTTCAAAGAGTAATAATCTTCAAAAAGTTTTATTCGTTGGACGTACTTCGTTAAAAAATTATAATTATAAAAAGTTAATTAATATTAGAAGGACAATAAGATTTAGTCAAGCCTATGAAATAAAAATAAAGTGCATAAGTTGACAATATATGTCAAGGTCATTGAAATCCGTGAGGTCGCTCAACTTACGCAATTTTACCGAAATAAATTGTAATTAATATATTTATTATTTAAAGAATACATAGAATTCACAATATTAAAAAAAGCATCGATTCATTGTAATTATGTATTTTTTTAAATAAAAATTCTGCATGATAATGAAAAATGATAATCTCATACGCTATAACGAGGAATATGTAATTGCATCTCTCGCTACAATCCATATTTTGTGTATGAATACCACTGCACGATAATTTTTTATGATTATAACTTTTCAACAAAAAACGTCCGACAGATAAAATTTTTTGAAAGTTACTCAGAGTCATCACCTTGACAACATATGTCAAGATCAAGGCCATTGTAAGATCGTCCCCTAATCAGTTTTACCACAATATATAGTATATATTACACATACATACACCTATATATACGTCACAAAACTTGTTACTGTTATAAATTATAATTTAATTAACCTGAACAAGTAATAAAATTAGTTAATTTTTTTCTTATCCCATAATGTTTATTAAGCAAAGTTACCTGGACATCTTTATGATCAGCTAATAACAGTAAAACATAGCTGATAGTCATCGCTGTAGTATCATGACCCTGTAATCACCATTACTTACATTTTAACGTGTCTAGATAACAAATACAAAAATTTCGTAATTTACATACGCCAACCAAAAAGGTATCTATTTCCTCTTTAATATCTGAATCAGTTAAATAACCATCTCGAGATGCTGCTATTAATAAATCCACGATAGTCAATCGCTTTTTTTTAACTAAATTAAAAAATAAGACATTAATTAATCTCATGGTAGAAGTGCATCTTTAGTATAAATATAATATAATTTTGATTTATCTTTAGTAAAATATTGATTTAAAAGTTAAGGTATTTAATATTGGACTAATTTTTAATTTAGCAAACATTACTCAATTTTTTAATGTAATTACTTAAACTGATAATCAATAATACTGTAAAAAAAATTTATAATATAAATTAAAGGTATAATATTCGATTATGTAACATACTTGTATCAGTTTCTGCATTATCTCCCTCTACTAATATATTTTTATTACAATTCTTCAATCGCTCATTGATTTGTTCATGATAAAGTTTCCTTGCAGCAATAATCTAAAAAATGTCAGTTTTTTATGATAATGTTAATGCTTATGCTAATATTATTAAAAATGTGTTTCATAATGTTTACAAATTATGTTGTTATTTTTTGAACAAAAATTATGACACCTTTACATCTTTTCTTGTAATTTTGTATAATAAAAGATCTAAAGACACTATACAACATAAGATTTTTACATACCTCCTCAGTAAATCGATGCAATACCTTTAAAACTCTTTTCTGTTGTCTGCCTTTTGGCGTTAAAGAGAAGACCCAATCGTTATAAAGCCATATTCTCACTACTCTAAATTATAAATAATTTAAAATTACTATTATAATTATATATTAATATGTATCATATACATAATTAACGGAAAACGTATTACAACTCTTCGAAGAAAATTTTATGTTCGGTTAATTTTTACATAATTATATGCTATTAATTTATGCTATTAATAATTATAAAATCTTAGATACATTATTTATTATTAGTTACCTATAAGTCAGGAGTTCGGATATCTGATGAATTGCATTTCGATATTCTTGTTGAAACGAATCCAATTTTTGCAAAGAAATACCCATAGCAGTTACTAAAATGCATTTTTTAAAGTAATATTATAATAATGCAAATATTTTTAACATATTTTTGATTGTTGAAATATTAACTTTTAATTTATCGTGATCATGTTCTATATAAAAATGGAAATTGTGTTGTCTTTCATTCTTTATTATTCTAGAAAAAATATTACATAATTATAACTAGAATACGATACCGCATAATGCATTCAGCGTATGTTCACTAATAAACGATATCAAATCTTTTATAATTATATCTCCCGTATTTTTTAAAGAGTTTGCCATGTTTTCACCTTCCGTAATCAAAATATCAGCAAACTGCTGTAATATACCGAAATGGAATGTGGGAGTTAATATCTTCCGTCGCGAGTGCCATTTGTTACCTAAAACAAAATCAATTTGTTAATTACCTAATAAAAATAAATTAAATGTTGTTAAAAATAACATATTCTTAAAAGAATTTATAAAAATCTATTGTCTAAGAATTTAATTATTCTTATATAATTAATCATGACAGCGATATAAATAATTGCATTATTGTGTATATACAGGGTGTCCGGCATCGGTCATATCACCTCTCGTGTGCAGGTAAAGCTGGTAAAACTGAGTAGAAAAGTCCTGTATCATTTTGCAATTTTTGCGATAATTATCAAATTATTAATTATTAAAAATCACCTTATTAGCTCGGCCCACCGGCAAATGCAGGCGCATGAGGAATCGTTTATTTCAAACGTCAATAGCTACACACAAGCCGCTATATAAAGATTATATAATGTTCCTTTTTATATATAAAAATATCTATATTTTACATTCAATCAAATCACGACTACAGTTTTTCTTTGAAAATTATAATTCTTTGAAAATTATTCTTGCTTATATGAAACTATATAATTTTATTTTAAGATTAATTCTTTTTTCTGTGCGTGTTTTTTAATATGTAAGTTTGTATTATAATTATGATTAAAAAATTTGGATATTGAGAACTATATATAATAAAACATATATAATTTTATATATGTTACAATAATTCAATTACATTACCTCCACTGGTGAGAAGGCCGGTGTTTAACCAAGGATGTAAGTTGTTGTAAATCAAACTTTTTTCAATATGTATCGATGTCCCTAATATTATCTAAAATTATAAAAGATGTGAAGATAAACATTATTTGATTTAATCGTGATACGGACGATTAATAATTATTTAAATGATCAGTGACATTTTAGGATCAATTTTTTTAAATAACAATTTTTGCGAAATGTGAGTAAACAATAAATTCTCTCAATTTGTCAATAATGAAATTATTAATAAATTAAAATTTGTTATATTATATTACATACCTCTATATCATCAGGATGACGGATACCTACAAATGGTGTAAAGAAAAACCACACTTTTAGGATAGAGTAATATTGATCAAAAAGAGTAATCAGCAACTTCCAGAGATCTTCTGAAAAATGTACATGTATTTTGTAAATACAAGATTATTGCAAATACGAAAGTATTTGTAATTTCTTTATTAGTGTTTTGATACACATACTAAATTTATTACAATAAAAATATAAAGATGTATTTTTAAAAATGTCAATAATGTTAGAAGTTTCAAAAATATAACTTTGAAAAAAATATTTTATTATTAATTATTATCACAATATGTATCACAATATTTGTCTTTATTCTTTTAAACAAACAATATATTTTTCGTTGACATTCTTATGCTATCAGACATAAGTTTAATTTTTAAACTTAAATATGAAACTTTGTACTCATATTGCAGATAAAATTTACAGTTTTATTTAAATATACGTTGCAAAAAATATATTGCAAATTAAAAAAAATATGTATTCAACATTATAATAAATATCAGAAATATTAAATAAGCAATATAATGTAGGCCATATATTTCCATATTTTAATATTAATTAATTGAAAAACACATATATTTCAAATTTTATTTACCTTGTGAAACTTGGAACATGAATGCATTACCAGTAATGAAATAACGTGATGGACCTGGTATAAGATTGATAAGTTTTCCATTTCGTCCATAATGCACATAAAAATTAAATGCCAATAAAATAAAAACAATTAATAATACTAATATAGTAATTATCGTAATAATCATCGTCTTTTGACCGAGTAACAAAAACACAAATATATTTAAATTTTCTTATTTTCAGTTTCTTCTTTCCTTTCGTTGATGATACGTTTCACAAAATATTCCTTTGTGACCCTAAATGGATTTAATAAATAAAGCATTAAAAAAAAGTAAGTTATTTATATTTAATAACTTTTAAAGAAATTGCAAAGTGAAATAATAGATTTATCTTTCTATTTGTTTAACTGAATTAATTACATAACAAGTATTTAAATCTCACAAGAACTTTTCAATTTCTTTTTTTTTTATTTAATAACATTTATTTATAAATAGTGAAAGAATTGTTTAAATGTTTTGAAAATGTTTATAAATATATAATTATTATTAAAAGATATTAAAATTTATTATATTTAAACAATTTTAATGAATAAATGTTTTTAATATTGTATAAGAAACAAGTCGATATTTCCATATTCAACGTTCACAACTAACTACTTTACTTCTCTGACTATTTTCATATGAAATGTATAAAAATGTGCTAAAAAGTATTGGAAAACTACTTTTTATCGTTATCATTGACTCTGAGTTTCTTAGTTTCTATTTTTCACATAATATCATGCTAGTGAGAAATGAAAGATAATCTGGGATAATGATAACGATAAAAAGTAATTTTATTTCAGTATTTTCCCACTTTTAATGAATTCATATAGGAATAATTATAGAAATAAACAAGCTGTTAATCATGATTGTTGAATATAAAAAAAACGAGTTGTTGTACAATATTAAAGTCATTTTTTACAATTAGTCGATTATTGATATATCAGTGCAATCGAAAATAAATGTTAAATATTTATAATTAATAGAATGATACTATTTGAAACAGATATACAAGTGGCTATTCATCTTTATACTTATGCCAAAATGGATTTCAAAGTCAGTTCATATACAAGAGAAATACTTATTTTAATATTCATCTAAAGGAATTAATTACATTATATATATTAGTGTCATTTTGAAAGATAGAGCCGTACAATGACGGATAAATTGATATTTATAGTTTAACAGGCATTTGCATTTGATAATAAATATCAATAAGAATTCAAAGAACTAAATTTATAATTAATGTATTATTACAACCGAATGGAGATCCGTTCATCGTTGTCCCCCATATTATGAAATACAGATCACTTTTTGCCACTGTGACGTATTTGATAGTGGACCGTGAGCGAAATGCAAGCCGTTGACGGACGCAAGAGATTTCTGTATCATTCCGTTAATTAAAGAGTTTATTTCTTTTCTAAGCGGAATCTCTCTCTCTGTCTTTTTCTCTCTTGTTTTGCATGTGGCCGCGAGTAATTGTAAAATGTCCGTCGTGCGAGTGGTCTTTGCCGCAAGTGCAACAACATTAAATTGAGATAAATTTCAAATAATAGGATAATTGATAGGGCATTGTTCAAGAGACAGGACATTTTATGTCTAACAATATTTCTTTTTGTTGAATTCATATTTTGTTGAATTTATAAATTTAGAACAATTGCTTACATTATGAATTACATGTCGTTATTAATGGATTAACGTAACAGTTCAAAGTTATATCACTAAATCGATAATCAAATCTGAAAATTAATTACACTTCTTATCCTTTTTACATGAAATTTTTATTTCGAAAAATATTACCTTAGCCAATCAAATCTGACAATCACCCACTTTTTAGGCAGACGTATCCTTCAACTTAAAGTATGTAATTGTTATATAATTGTTAAAACATGTATAAAATATTTAATTAGTAATAACCTGATAACCATTCTATTTATTATAAATATTTAATATTTATTTTCGATTGCACTGATATATCAATAATCGACTAATTGTAGAAAATATCATTAATATTGTATAACAAGTCGATGTTTTTATTCAATGATCTCGATTAACCGCTTGTTTGTTTCTATAATTATTCCTATATAAATTCTATAAAAGTACTGAAAAAGTACTGAAATAAAACTACTTTTTATCGTTATCATTGTCCCAGATTATCTTTCATTTCTCATTAGCATGATTTTATGTAAAAAATGGAAACTAAGAGACAATGATAACGATGAAAAGTAATTTTCAGTACTTTTCCACTTTTATACATTTCATATGGGAATAGTCATAGAAGTAAACAAGCAGTTAGTTGCGGACGTCATTGAATATGGAAACATCGACTTGTTTCTTGTGTACAATATTAAAGTCGCTTGGTAAATTCAGTTGTAACAATACATTGATTATTTATTTAATTGTTTGAGCTTTTATTGATATTTATTAAATGCGAATGTCTGTAAGCTTTTAACATAAATTTATCCGTCATTGTATGGCACTATCTTTAACCGGATAACCTGACGGACACATTATCTGATTGATAAGTATCCCATTTTGTTCATAATGTACGGAAAAATTATATGCTAATAAGATAAGAATAGATAATACCAATATAGTGATCATTGTAATTATCATTGTTTTTTGACCAAGCAATTAATATATTCAAATTTTCTTATCTTACAAGGAGAGGGCGCGGACTTGGAAATATCGATTTTGAAAAGACTTATATATGTTAAAGTTATGTTAAATATGTATCATATTATTATATTACTCTACTAAAAGAGTATTTGAGTAAAAGGATAGGACGCAATCTTTGACTATACAAATACGGACTGCTAGCCCTCACTTTTCCTATGTTAAAAGCTATGTCTGTTGTCACCAACATTCGATCGAGATATTTCGAAATTTAGGCTCTGCCCCGTGTCCCAAATGACGGATAATTCAAAAATGAAATAAGGATTTCCATAAACGAACAAATATATTTTATTAAAACATTTTATAAAAATTATATAATAATTTATAAAATCATGTATTAATTAAAAACAAATATAAAATATATAAAAATATTATTTGTCCTTTAAATATAACAATTTTTGTCAACGTGTGTCGAATAAAAAAATTATGTTTATATCTTGTTTCACACGCCAAAGTACAGCATTTTAACATTATTATGTTTAAATAAGTTTGTGCAATCAATTTAATTAACTCATATTTATGGTTTTCAAGAATATGCAAGTTTTATATATGATCGTCAAATGAAATGATATGAACTGATATGAACTGATATGCACTGACCAATCACTTACGCTTCAATGACGTCACGCATTTTAGTTCGTGGGACATGATAGCGCCACTGTCCAAATTAATGTTGGCGTCACGAGTGAAGTGAGCTACTAGCAATCCATATTTATAATAAAAAAAACGCAATATTCAATTTTCGAGAAAAATCGGTTTAAAATTTATAGCATTCCTTATATACCGGTCGTGCTTAAGCTTATTCCGCCAAGATCGGAGAGTTTGAGCGCTTAGCCTTGTACCATCTGTCGACCTGAATTCGATTCTTGCCTACTATACTTTTTTTTTAAATCTAGAAAATATTTATTTATTATATTATTAAATATGTATTATATTACTATGTAAAATAAAATTAATTTAATTAACAATTGTTTATATTAAAAATTTTCACTTTTAACTTCAATTAATAATTTACTTGAATCTAATTCTTATTCAATTAACAATCTTATTATTTTACATGTTCTGTCCGATATACAGCTAATAAAATGCACTTTTAACGTTTAAATTTAATATAGTATATTTTAATTAAATTTTTAAATAGCATCTTTTTTCCATTTTTTTT